AACAGCTTGCGTCCGGCTGATGGAAGCAGGCAGTGGACTCTGTGATTGGGAAGCATGGTGAGCAAGCAAACCGCTGCGAGTGTTTTTAAGTTAAAAGTGATAAGTGCAGGAAGTCTGAGGAGCCCTTGACCTTGGCTGACATCGCTGAGATCCAAGATACATGGTGTTAAAAGTTGCCCGAGAGAGCGCTGCTTCCATTAAGGCCTTTAGAAGTAAAGAACAAAACTCTGAAATTAGTACAGAGCAGAGATGATGGCTTTTTTTTTTTTTTCCCAAGCTCTTCAGGTTAAAAATATTTGAAAACTGGGACAGGATGACAGGATTTCTTGCTTTTTTCGCCAGGCTCACGAGTGAAGTTTCAGGCACGGGAGAGTATGCTGTAGGGAGCAAGCCTACTTTGGCGGGGGGCTGGAGCGACTGTGCTGGCGCATCAGCGTTGCTAAAGTGGATCAGCTCAGGAAGGTCCCGAGGACTTGAGTGGACAATTACGAAATCACCTCCCCCGGGGCAGAATCTCTTGCTGAGGATCCCGAGCCCCGCGTTCCTCTCGGTTACCGGCCCCTTGCCTGGAAACCGCCGTTGGCGGAGCTGAGGCGCGTTAGCTGCCTGTGTGCCTGCTCTCCGTCCGCTGCGGCGCGGATCGTCCTCAGGGCGGGCGACGCGGGCGAGCTTTCCCGAGCGCGGAGCAGAGCGCTGTGCTGAGTCAGGTGTCGTCCGCGCTGGGGGGGGGGGCTGAAGTTGCTGTCGCTCAAGCGCTCGCCGTCATCTCACCGGATCCTCCGTTGCTGCCTTGTGCCCTGAAGAAGGGTTTACGCTCCTGCTGTTTTTTCTCCCTGATGCATCTGCAGTTGTTCTGCTCTCCACGTCAGCAGTTTCTGGCCTGTGCCGTAATGCGAGCAGTGCTACAGCAGAGACATGTCCTCTCCTCCCCGCTCAGCTCTAGCCTTTAAGCAGCTGGAACTGGCCTTGCAGTCAAGCCTCACCCTGCCCAGGGTCAGGCCTTGGCAGGGCGTGCGCGGCAGGGAACGCGGCGGAGCTATCGCGAGCGTCCCCTCTAGCTGCCTGCTTTTCAGGGCCCTCTGATCTTCTCTGCGCCACGGGAGGATAAAGGGGAACGCTGCTGTAAGCTTTCTGAGATGCAGGGAGCAGGTCAGAGCGCTCCGCTGATTTACAGAGCGGGGGGATGTTCTCAGCGTCCCGTTCTGAACAACTCTTTCTTCGGTCTTTTCTGAGCACTGAGTAGAACTTCTTCGTTTTAGTGCTGGGATCTGTGCAAGCGCCGTTTCACTGAGTGGTTACAGATGGGATCTAGCAGGATTTTTCCATTTTCAGTTTGTGCGTCTGAGTCTTTTTTTTTAATCTCCCCACCCTTCCCAAGCCCTGCTCCAGGGGCAGAAAACCCTTCCCTGGTTTTCCTGGGGTAGCGAGCTCCGTGAGCTGCAAGCACCGGAGCCGCCCTGCTCTTCTGCCGCGGGTGAGGAGCAGCATCCGCGTCGCTGCAGCGCAGCCACTCCGCTGTGCGCTGTGGCCTCCGAGCTCAAGCCCGCTGTCGGGGGCAGCCAAGCAAAGCGCTGGGCCCTGTAGAGAGAGATTGGAGCAAAAGTTCCTCCCCTGTGGTGGGGCGGCCGCCGCTAGCAGAGGGACCGGAGCCGAGGACAACAGTCTGCAGCGGCAGAGAGGCCCTGGCCCTGCCCGGAGCTTGCCCACCGCTGCCTCGCTCCGGCTCTCCCTGTGCCAGCTGCGTAGCGTCCACCTTTCAGGAGACTTGAGATGCCTATTCACACTTGGTGTGGGATATTAAAAATGCAAAAAGGCTATATAAATACTTAGCGCTACTTACTGGCAGTGCTCATATTGATTTATATACTTTCCGTCGCCTCAAGTGGATGCGTGCATTTAGATTTTGCTGTGACATTTCTTGCGGGTGATTTTGTTACGGCTGGATTTCTTCATGGAGCAGAGCCCAGGACGCTGTGCCAGAACATGTTATGTTTTGGATAAAAGACTGACTGCAAGGCGGTGGCTGGTTTCCTGCTACTGGCGGAGGGTGAAGGACAGTTAGAAAAAGGCCTCCCAAGGCCAGTGTTTAGAGGACTGGCTGCGGGGCGCGAGCATGCCCGCTCAGCACCGCGTCTTGCCCTCCTTGCGGGTGGAGCAGAGGTTTCTGTGCCTGCCGGTGCTTCCTGGCCGGGGGTCGAGCCGTATGCCTTGGCTTTTTTTCGGACCGCTCTCTGTTTGGCCTGCTGGCATGTATCTGGAGCGATCCTGGTACACGTACGGGAGTGACTGCAAACAGCCCAAAAACATGCCGTGCTCCTGGGAAGTCGCTAGGAGCGACTGGGCTAGCGGAGCCTGGGGATCTCGCTCGGCAGGACGCGCTGACTCTCACCGTCCCTGGCTGTTGTCAGGAGATGGAAGAGCTCTGTCCCCTCTGTCTTTTGGGAGGTGATGCTCATTGGTTTTGCGTGGAGCTCGCTGGCCTCAGCGCGCCAGGGCCTGCTCGGAGCGCCGGCTGCGTTAGCTTTTTGCGTTAGCTGGCGGGGCCGCTGGGCCCCCCTCTATCCCCGCTGGGTGCCTGACGCGAGGCAGCTCGTGACCTGCGGGAGGAGTTGATCTGCTGCCGCCGCCGCTGCTGCGCGGAGAAGGGGTGAACACGGAGGAAGCTGCCGTGCGAGGCTCTGGGGTGATGTCAGGATCCTTGGGGGAGAGCGCTCGACCTGGGCAGGGTGAGGCACGGGTTGGCTGTCAGCCTTGCTGATCCGGGGCGCCTCCGTGGCCGCTGGGCAGGGCTGCTCTCAGGGGACACCACGATGGCAGCAGTCAGCTGCGTTTTCTCTCCGTTCGGCATAGCCTTCGCCAGCAGCAGCCTGGCTTGGGCAGAGCTCCCTTCCCGCTCCGGGGCGGGCCCGGCTGGTGCCTCCCCCCCCCCCCCCGCCAACTTCTCGGCATTTGACCTTAGCTTGGCACTAACAACTTTTTCCTGTTGGTTTCTCTGCTTTACGAGGTCCTTCCCTTTGGGGAAGCAGGTTCAGACCAAAGCTGGCTGGTTCAGGGAGGACCTGGTGGTGCTGGTTGCTCCTCGCTGTGGAGGTTTCTGAAACCGGAGAGCAGAGGAGGGAGGTTTCTGCTGTTGGCTTACTTGGGCCTCCAGGGTGGCCAGCGTGCTGCGTGGTGGGGGGCGGCGAGGGCCGGCCTGGGAAGGGAGAGCCAAGGAGGAAAGGCTGCGCAGTCGCAGGCAAAAACGACCTGTCGGTTCTGCCAGCTCAAGACCCTGCTCCCGAGCAGAGGCCTGGAGCGAGGCCAGCTGCCGGTGCGGGTTTCCCTCGCTGCGCGCGCAGGCCGCAGAGCCGCGCGGCTCTTTCCTGCTGGGCTGGAGCAGAGCTGCACAGCCGCTCGCGTAGCCACCTTCTGCCCGTGCTCGTTTTCTGCAGACCCTTCCCCGCTTGCGTTTGCTCAGCAGTTCCAACGCTTGCCCTGTGTTTTCCATATTTCTCTCACAAGTGTGCTTTGGTCTCATCCCAATTCATGTGTGTTTATGTTTTTAGGGTGATTGAGGTACTGCGCCTCTGGCCGTGGAAGCATGTCGGGGCCAGTGCCAAGTCGGGCCAGGGTCTATGCAGATGTGAACACTCAGAGACCCCGCGAGTACTGGGACTACGAGTCGCACGTCGTGGAATGGGGGTATGACTGGGCCTCCGAGGGAGATAGGAGGGGGACATGTTACTCCAAGGCCTCGGTGTGTGCACTGGCGCGGGTTTCCCTCCACAGCCCAGCACCGCGGTAACAAACGCCTTTGCGCGTGCTCAAAGGCGGGTATCGGAGCCTCTGTGTAAGCACTTGTGTAACGGCGGCACCCAGCAGAGCGGGGACTAGCATTTCGGTTTTCTGAGCTGCAGTCCAGCGCCCGCCCCCGAGACCGCTCTGTCTGGGGAAGGGAGCAGCGGGAAGCGGCGCGAGGGAGGGCTGGGGCTGTGCCTGCTGCTCCTTGGCAGCTTTGCAGGTGCAGCCACTTCTATTCAAGCGTTCAGAGTAGATGTGGGTGCCTGCCTTTAAGCACCACAAGTAAGTGCTTAATTAAACAAGTGTGATAGGGCTTTGGTTTTCCTTGCTGGAAAGGATGGCTATACGAAATGAATTTTCCAGACTGGCTCTGAACAGCCTTTCTTGCTCTGTCTGACCTTGGGAGGCTTTTCCCACTGTTGTTGCCCCCCGTGGAGCTGAACCAAACGTTAAAAGGCTGGGAGCGGTGGAGACGACATCAGTTATGTAACCCTGCTTGGAGCAGATCTGTTGACGCCACGCTAAGGGCGGCAGTGGCAGCTAGCTGTCTGGCTGTGCTCAGCCTCGGTGCTGCTGCCACCAGGGAGCCGATGGGAATAACAGGGAACACTGCTGGGAAACTGGGAAAATGGTCCTGGAGCGAAGAGGGGTTTGAGAGGCCTAAGGTGAAACTCTTAGGATTTTTTTTGTTTGGAGTCCCTCTGAGGGCTTGAGTCTCTGAGAACTTGAAATTAAGACGACCAGTTGATTGTTTTATATGGCAGCTGGCTTGATGATGGCATGGACAAAGTGCCAGCTTTGACTTTGCAGGTATTAACGTAGCGCTACTCAGCAAGGAATGCTCTCCTGCTTGAGGGCACCTTGCTTTCTGACCCATGTGCCGGGCGCTTTGGGCTGAAGGGCTTCTGCCCACGAGGGACAGAGGCTGTTCTTTGTTCGGTGGTTGTGACAAAGTCTGGAAAACAAGTTCTTTCTTTTATTTTAGGCTTCAGTGTGAGCTGGTGCCTAGACACAGAGGAGATTGTTCACTGTGCTGCAGTTGACAGCTGTCAGTGCAGTTTCTGTCGGGGCTGGACGAGGAGCCCTTCCCGACACCCTCCCTCCATTATATGTGCTGGTCACCGAACAGCCTGGCCTGGGACCAGTAACCTAGAAAGGAAAGGCTTTTGATCCAGTTTCAAATCCCCTGAGCCAGCCACAGCCCTGGGGAGCCTTCGGTCTTTCCAGGTTGACATTTCCATGTCTTCTTTTAGCATCTTGGGTTTGGGGGTTTTTTTTTGGTTTTGTTTTCTACCCAAACAATTCCTACAGTTAAAGTTCCTCCTGACATTGACCCTGAGCCTTGCTGTGTGTTTGGTTCCCAGTGACTAGGAATTGATTCTTTCCATCTGTAACACTTGGTTCACCACGTTCCCTTTATAAATATTTGCTGAGCATAACGTAATATTAAGGAGAGCGGTAGCCTAGCCTGGTCGGTTTGTGCTGCAGCTCCATTGCCCATCTGAACTCTCCTTGTTTTGTTCGAGATGCTGACGAGTCATCTCGGGCATTGTCTCTGGTAATTAGCAATTTGTGAAGTCAAGCTTTCTAGCCTGTAATTCCCTTTCTTTCCTCAACTTGTTTACCCTTATCAAGTCCCTGGAGGCCTTGTGCCTTTCCTCCTTGGCATAGCAGAAATAATTGCCAGTCCTTTTGCTGTTTCCTTCAGTCCTCTCAAGAGACTTTTGCTAGACCTTACTAGGTTTAAATATATGGAGATTTTATGGGTGATAGTTGGTTTTTCCTGATTCCTTTCTTGTATGGAATATTTATTTTTACGGTTCATCAGGTGTGCAGGGACCCTTTATACGTCAGTAAAAAGGGATGGGGTCCTTGGCTAGAGGAATCTTTATTTCAGGTATTTTGTCAGTCTCTGACAAACTGACTGACTGCTAGTGGATGCTGGAGTTCCAGATGAGCTAATCCTTGCAGCCCACTGCCTCCACTTTTTAAGTAAGGAAGCTCAGACATAGGATGAAGGAGTCTCCGAACAACTCGTAGCAGAGCTGGGAGCAGGGCTAAGGCATGTTCACTGGAAGGGGAGGGTGCCAGCTTTCGGAGTTGTCAGAAGCACTTTCTGCAGGCCGGGAGGGTTCACCTGGAGGGCTCCGGTGTGTACAAGCAGGGGGCTGCACTCTCTCCCGAAACGCTCTGTAATGCATGTGAGGCCTGGTATCCATCTCCGCATGGAAACTGCTGGACAAGCGCTCCGCTGCGCACACTGCAGGCAGCGCTGCGCTCCAGCAGCGCTCTCCGGTTGTTTATGGGTCGGTTTGCACATTCCTCTGCAGTGGTGGCTGCTTCTCTCCGGCCCTAAGCAGCATGGTACGTTTCTAGCGCTCCACTTGCCTTAGAACGACTCCCAGACCTTGACCTTCCCCTCTCCTCGGGAGAACTGCTGTCCGCAAACCAAGCAGTGCTCTGGTTTGACTTGAGTGCAATCTCTTCATCTGTTTTTTCTCTGCTCTTCAAACAGCAACCAAGATGACTATCAGCTTGTGCGGAAACTTGGCCGTGGCAAGTACAGTGAAGTCTTTGAAGCCATCAACATCACCAACAATGAGAAAGTGGTTGTGAAAATACTCAAGGTAGGTGTCTGAGGGCTTGCTCACCGTTTTGTTCCTCAGCTGATGCTTCTGTTTCTTCCCCTCCTTCACCTCTTCCTGCTCCGTTTGAAGTGTACTATTGATATTTGGATGATCTCATCTTAGCTGAGGAAAACATCAATCCCCAAATAAAAAGTTTAAGCTGTTTAGCTTGTCTCCTTCTCCGCACAAACCAGGGATCAGAGCAGGGAGGCAGGGACATCATATACATGCCATGGAGGCAGAAGGAAAATCTGCGCTCAACCTCGCGCTGAAATTCTGCATGTGTCCTCTTTGCCTTCCCTCTCCGTCACCTGCTTACCCAGCACTTGCTGTCATAGCTGCGAGGTTGCGGTGGGTGGTGCTCTTCACCTGACAGGTGGCTGCATCTCAGTGGTGCTGTGGGATTGAGAATGCTTTAGGGAATAGGCTTTCTTTGGGCCTGTTTCAGGTCATAATCTCACGAGTTCAGCACAAGTACCTCGCTTGTTCTGATCCAAGTTCATAAAATCCACATGCTGGATTCATGGAGCGCAGCTCACTGCCTGAGAGAGAGGAAAAAGGAGTGCAGAGATCTTTCCCAGGATGATCAAACCAGCGTCTTGCAACGGAAGGTCGTTGCAGCACGTGATATCTCAGCCTGTAAGTTGCAGCTGATTCCTGCTCTGAGGATGAGCACAGGTACATCCATATGTCCCGGGAAATTTGGCAGCGTACAGAGGGTTCCCTAAAGCTAACAGAGTAATGACAGGTGGACAGTGTGCCGTCCTGCTTCTCCAGTTTCATCATTCGTTATGTTTGTGGGCCATGTTTAGGCTCTTTCAGCTTTGGGTGACAAGCTAATTTCTGTGGTATTACTAAAACATGTATAATTACAGTTTGTAAGAAGCAGGAGTTATAAAACGCAGGCACAATCTTAAGAACGTTGCCCTTGCAAGAAAAACGTGGAAGGAGCATACCAATTAAAGAGCTGAATGAAAATATAAATTAAGAAACGTTTGGGGCAGGTTACGAGTGAGAAAGTGAGCCAGTGAGCCTAGGCGACAGAAGCGTCCTCGTTAATGTATTTGCACTGTATGTTGCATAGCCTGGTGATGGAGAAGCAGGACGCAAACTCAAAGGGCAGAAAGAGCATTCTGAGAAGAAAGATACTCAGATCAGCCTCAGCTTCTCTGAGCAAATCCGGAGCTGTCTTTATGCTCACTCTGCAAGCTTGGACAATTTACCAGGGCAGCTCAGCCTGGGGACTAGGTTGTGAGGCAATACTGATGAGTTATGGAGGCTTTGAAGGGCTTGATTGTTAGAACTGTTATTTTATTAAATTATGCTTCTCTTGTTGAACCGTTTCAAAAATCTCACTCAAAGATTTAACCTGGCACTTCAAGAAACTGAGCTTACTCTTTAGTGCTTAAACCTTTTTTTGTGATAAAATAATCTCCAAACAGTCTCCCAAATGCAGGAAACGCCATTCCTTTGAAAGTGGAGAACTGTTAGATTGACAAGGTCACAGAATGCGGTTCTCCACAGTGATGTGAGTGTTTTTAGGCATGGAAGCATGTTCCCTCCGTTCTGCTGCAGGGCTGGCTTGGGACCAGGTAATGCTTGGTACTGTCATCCTCAGGGGGGCAGAACCTGTGCTGCTCTGAGGTCAGAAAGAGCTATGCAGACCTCTTGCGATTTAGAGAATGTGCCTGCTCGTCACAGTTTCTTCTGCATTAATGTACAACCACATGCTCCTTTGCTGGTTTCCCTGCTGTGTATGCAGCCCTTAATGTCGGAGTGGTTCGGAGAGGCTTTTCTGGTGGTAACTGGCTCTTATTTTCTATTTTTTAGCCTGTGAAAAAGAAGAAGATCAAGCGTGAGATTAAGATCCTGGAGAATCTCCGAGGTGGCCCTAATATCATCAGCTTGCTAGACATAGTGAAAGACCCTGTGGTAAGGAAGGGAAAGGGACAACTCTGACACTCATAAATGTCAAGGTGCGAGGGAATCCTCGCCACCTTGTCTGACCTGAGTTGCTAGCAGCGTATGGCTGGAGTTGGAGTGCGTCTCTGAGGTAGGACCGAGCCCCTGGCACGCTTGGCATCTGTCTGGCCGCTGAGTCCAGCCCAGGCAGATCTCTGTGTGCGTTCCCCAGTAAAGCAGTGCTGGCACAGTAAGGCTAGAGGGTAGGAACGGAAGGAGATGTTTCTGGCTGATCCAGCAACGGTAGGCGGAGGGCTGTGCATACCGTGCTGCCTTCTCTTGTTCCTGGAAAAAGAGACTGTGTCTCCAGCTGGAAGCAGAGCAAGGAATATTCCCCAGTGCCTTCTCCCAAATGTGTTGTTTTGCCTTTCAAACCACCCTGGTCTTGTGCTGCCTTAGTTCTGTAAAGAGAATTGCATGGACTGTGTGCTGCATGTAAGGGTGCTCGCAGCCTTGCCTCGTACTGTGCAACTTAGTCAGAGCTAGCTCAGAACGGTTCTCCGTGGAGTCCTGGTGGAGCATTGGGTTGGATTAGATAGCTGCATATTACTGCAGTGTCAGGCTACTCTTTGTTTGCTGAGTGATACTTCCTGCCTTTGAGAAGGCGGAGGAGAAAGTCGGGCAGCAGCAAATTTAAGGTGAATCAGTGGAGAGGTGGAGGAATATTGCTTTTCAGAAACAAGATTGGGATTATTCTGTAGACAAACTGGTCAGGCAGAAGGGTGCTTTCCTCTGCACTTGTGCCTCACTGATGCTTTGTGGGGTGTTGCGATCTCTTGCTCCTCCTAGCAAAAATGACTCTGTGCTACAAGCCCGGCTTGTGGTCGGAAAGACAGAACAGAATGATGTTTCCTTTATGGCACTTGCTGGTCTCCTGGCTTTTATCCAAAGGCAGCAGGTTTTACTTCTGTTATCCCCACAGAAACAGGGTATCCCCCGTCTCAGTGGATTTCTAATCCGCCCTGAGTGTCTAGAGCAGAATTGCTAGCTCGTTTTCTGTGGCAGGCTTCGCTCCTCAGAGTGATGCAGGCAGTGCTTGGCTGGACTGGGAGGATCCTGGGAAATGTGCTTTTGGCAACTAAGACAGAGTTTTGCATGGGCAAACTGATAAAAGCAATGGTGTTTGTATAGTGTAGCTGAATTTCTCTGAGGTACGTGACTTAGTAGCACATGACGTTCTGATTAAAAAGCAGCACTAGGTTGAATTAGTGGGACGTATTTGAGCCAGTTTTAATCCCTCTGACAGGCCGTGAAAGACAGCTGCTTGTGGGGAGATATCAGTGAATGGCGGCCCTGGGGATTGCTTCTCAGTTAGCTGCTGTTTGAACGTTTTCTAGAAACGATCTGAAATCTTAGTTGGTGAAGTTTGCAGATGATAAAAAGATCACTTTGTAGTTAAGAAACGAGGATGGCTTACATACCTGGAGGGCATATTTTAGTACCGCAGGGCCGTGCTCTCGGGAGCAGGGGCGCAGGCCCTCATGTCAGGAGGGGAGGCTGTCTTGGGGAAGCAGCAAGCCGGAGAACGGCTTGGGTTGCTGTGGGTGACGGCCTCTGCACAAATGCTCAATATGATCTCCGGCCAAAAGGGCTAATTTGGTCTCCTGCGTGCATGAAAAAGGGACTGTGCAGACGGAGAGGGAGGGGTCTTATCTCTGCGCACAGCGTTTCGGAGTCCTGCCCTGAGGGCCAGCATCCACACGGCGAGGAGGAGGAGTTCAGAGAGGAAGGGAACGGGTCGGGAGAGCCCTACGCAAATGATACAAGAGCCAGAAAAGCTGCTGTGCTGCGTCAGGCCTAAGGAGGGCAGCTGGCTTCCATTGCTTGGGGGTGCTGTGCACCCCCTCCACCAAATGTGTCTTAGACAATGCCGTCCAGCTGAGATGGCTGGGAAGCCCTGGTTGGGCCTGGTTGGGAGGGGTGTGATGGCCTGTGATATGCAGTTCAGACAGGTGGTCTCTTGTCCTTTTTCCTTGAATTTCTATGAAGTCTTTATGAGATCTGGTTGCTGCCAGTAGAAGAAATATGTGGGAGCCCATTCTCAGCTTTTCAGCACATAGCAGCAGCTCACCCTAGCGATGCTGACAGGCACCACTGTTAGGAATCAGACCTCAAAAGGCTGAGGAGTGCTCCCTTGCTTCCTGCCTTACCCTGATTTACAGCTTTGCTGGGTCCTGTTCCAGACCCAGAGGTGGCTGCGTTTCTGTGAGTGCTGAAATGATTACGTACAAAGCACGCGTGCGCACGTCTGTGGCGGCGGTGTAAAGATGTGGCTCCCAGTGCATTGGATGCTGCTGAAACCCTGGGGCAGAGGTCTCGAAAGCAGCTTGTGCAGCTGCGTGTGTTGCAGCGTGGGCAGGGACTCTTGGGACGGGAAGCGCGTGAGGGAGGGAGCTCCCTGCGGGTGCCGGAAGGGACCTGGGCTGGACACAGAGCAGCCCATCTGCTGCCACCGCTGTCTGCATGACCCCTTTACGCTCTCTTACTTTGAGAAAGACTAAACCTCTCTCTTTTCTTTCCCTCTCTTCAACTGCTACCCCTGCCCTGCAGTCTCGCACACCTGCCCTGGTCTTTGAGCATGTCAACAACACAGACTTCAAGGTGAGTGACCACAGCTGTTGCAGAGACCTCCTGAATCTTAGGACAGCGTGGAGCATCTGGGAAAACGCCTCTAAACTCTTCTGCGTGCAGGCAGCATGCTGTGGCTACCGGAGGGGTTCTTGACCTGCCTTGTGCCGGGGAGGGAGTGGACTTCTATTTCAAAGGCATGCGGTGTCACAGAAACGGCTGGCATCTCTGTGCCGGAAGGGACAGGGGATTTTGGCTGTGGCCTGCTTCTCTTTCCTGTAACTTACAGTCAAGGGAAGAGCCAGGGGCTCAGCGCTCATGCTAGGGATTGACTAGTCTCTGCTTTCCACCATGCTGCTCCAGCCGTTGGCCATCGTGGGCTTGTAGTCATAATCTGACGCTGGCCAATTTGCAGTACTTCAGAGGGGGCTGAAAATGTTGGATTAGTTGAGCCTTACGTCCCTAGAGCCTCGGCTGAGCGGCAGGAGAGGAGAGGAGTGTTTAGATGAGCTGTGAGAATTAGTGGCCAGCTGCCCGGGCCTGTTTGCCTGTGGCTGCTCGGTTGTTTTCAGTGGGTAATGCACGGTAAGTCTCAATGTGACCCTTTTTCCCTGATTCTCCACCCTGAGGCTTGTCTTTGGGCTGTCTCAGTGAATTACTTTCTGCTCTCTGGGTTTTGTAAGGGTGGTTAGGCATGCTCTTTCATCCTCGTTCCCTGTCCTCGGCATGGAAGACTGAATTCTCGCAAGCCCTAGGTCTACAACAGCAGATTCGGTCAGAGTTCCCTGGCCCCAGCCTGGGCGCAGGAAGGGAGGACACGTGCATGTTATGAAGGTTGACTAGCTAGACTGTGAGTTTGGCTCCTCCCTGTGGTATGTTGGCAGTTCCCAGGTGGTGAGAATTGGGGTACACGATGGGTACAAAGCTGCCCATATGCTCTCTAGACAGTTGGTGTTTCTGGGCCTGAGTTGTAGATCCACAAATGTGTGTGTGTGTGTGTGCGCGTGCGCGTTCCTGTGCCTGTGCGGATGCCTGGTGCCTCCACGAGGCTGTCGGCTGGCCCTGGGGATGGTGTTATCATTGTTCCACAGTGGCACTAGGAGCCCGGCGCCCTGGCCCTGGTCTCTTCAGACACAGCAAACAAATATGCCTGTGTTTTGTTAACTTGCCTCTTGTATTCATTCTTACAGCAATTGTACCAGACACTATCTGACTTTGACATACGGTTCTACATGTATGAAATCCTAAAGGTAAGCTCCTGGGGTGACTGGGAAATCCACAAATCCCTAAGAAAATCTTTGCTCAAGCAGTGACCTGGTGTTAAATCTCCTCCTGGGAGTCAGAGGGTAGAAACAGGATGTAGAGAGTGGAGGTCATTTGGCTACTAAACTCGCCTGGACGGAAGCCCGGCTGTCCGCATGGGACAGCTTCTTGGGCCACAGCACAAGGGGAGGCTCAGAGGCAGACGGCTGTTTAGTGTGTTAGTGAATGGCTTCAGAGTGTGAGGTCGCTGTGTCCTTGAGAAGCCATCTTATTTCCATGACATCTTGCAGACTCGTACCTCCACTGACACTCGGCGTTGGAAATAGCTTTAGTTGCAAGCCGCCGGTAAGGGCAAGAGCCACGATGGAGCATGGCGTCTGCTCAGCCAGGGAGCTGAGGGTGCTGAAACTGTTTCTCAGAGCACCTTCTGCCTGTCTCAGCCATCGCTCTGCCAGCAGAGGCTGGCCAGGAGAGACTGCATTGCCTACTCTGCTGTTCTTTAGTCAGAGTAGACACTGCAGAGAGACTGCAGCCTTTGAATGAGGATCAGACGTTTAAATTGCAGCGTCTCCTTTGGCGGTGGTTGGCACAGAGTAGGCAGGGGAGAGGGGCGTTTGCACCCTGCTATTCTGCATTGCTCAGTGGAGCTGCAGTTCTTGGGCTGGGGCTGGGCTTCAAAAGTGAGAGGTTGCGCCTGGGGGCAGAAGCTAATGCACGCTTAGCGGGGTAGCCAGAACAGAGGCCACGGGTACCTGTGTGACTGCTCTCTGTGGCGTGTGCCTCTGCAGCGCAGCAGGCTTGGCAGGCCAGGCCAAGGGTTATTTTAGCGGTTCTCTACGCGGGAGCGGCAAAGGTGCGTGCTGGCAACCAGAGAGGGGTCTGCAGTAGAGATGACTCTGTAGACCTGTCTGGAGCTGGAAAAGGGCCAGGGCCTGAAGGTTGCTTGGGAATGTGCGTGGTGCTCTTAGCTTTTAGTACACACGTCACCGAGGCAGCGGCTGACCTCGGTGCTGCCCGCTAGGGCTCTGGCGGTTGTCTGGCTCAGTCCCAGAACAGCCTTTGGGTCTGTGCCTCATCGCTGCTCTGCCAGCTCTTGCTGCCGGCTCTCTCCGCGAGCCTGCTCTGTCGTGATGTGGAAGGAGACTTTCTGACGGTGCCTGTTCTGTCCGCAGGCACTGGACTACTGTCACAGTATGGGTGTCATGCATCGAGATGTCAAGCCACACAACGTGATGATCGACCACGAACACAGAAAGGTATGGTGAGGCCCTGCTGGGCCCTGCTTCACATCTCTTGGGAAAGGGGAGTGCTGCGGGGCAGCCCAGCTGCCCTCGGCTGGTTCTCTCTGTTTGAGGCGGTGCCCTAGGCTGGCACGCTTCTTGGAAGGGAGAAGCTCAGTCCTGCTTTTAGCTCCCGCTCTAGCCGTCTGAGGCAGTGGTGAGCTGAGGCTGTGAGCTCTTCTCCCAAACGCTCAGCAATCAGATCCTGGCTAAGAGCCTTTGTCCTGTCAAGGGCAGCCAGCAGGCACTCTTACCTGCTGCCTCGTGCTTCTGTTCCTGCTGGCCCGCACAGGCTTGTTCTGTGCCCCTTACTTTCTTTATCCCACGATTAGCTGCTGTGGTCGGTTGTGGATTCGACACCACAGCTGCCCCGGTACAGACAGCACAGCTAATGCCCGAGGTCCTGCTCGTCTCCAGAGGGCTGCTTGCAGCCCTTCTCCTGCGCTGTGGCTCTCACTGGGCCTGCTTCGAGCGCTCAAACGTGGCAGCGCTAGCACCCCCAAGCCCACGTTCAGGCGGGAGAGTGTTGCCTTTAAGTTCTGCCTTAAGGTATAAACTGATTAGCCCTTGTTAGATCTGGGCCCCAGCAGACTCCATATGGGGAGGGTTGAATTTGCAGCTGTTTGTTTGGAAATACAGGTGACCATAAAACCCACACCTGTATCCAGTAAACTCACTTTATTTGCCACCTGTTTGTCAGTAACTGAGGCTTGTAAATGTAACTTTAGATTTCTTCCAGCACCTCTGTAGCAACTGGCCATCTGGGGCCTCAAATAAAAATGACTTCAAAAGGAGTCTGCTTGGACAGAGGGAAGCAGGGCGTTTCCCTGCGGCATGGGTCACGGGCAAAGCCTCGAACGGTCAGTAAACGCCCCCGTTATTAGAGCAGAAAGTGGCTGAGCCCCTCTGTGCCCCTTGGGTGCTGTGCTCTTTGAAATCCTCCCTGTCTTCACAGCCCAGCATCACCCTGTTTCTAACCAGCTGCATTTTGGTGTAACCGCTGTGCTCACCGACAGACGTTTGAGCTGAGCAAATCTTTCCCTCTCCCCAAATTAATATTAAAACCACTCGAGAGGGCTGCTTGGGGAGGCTTTTTGCGGACAGCAGAGAAGCAGTAGATGTTATATATCCTGCCTTTAATAAGACTTTTGACATAAGCCAACTAGGGAAACACGGGTTAGATGCATTTTCTGTAAGGTAGGTATAAAGCTGACTGGAAAGCCGTAATTAGAGAGTAGTTATCAATGGTTTGCTGTCAGAATGGAAGGCAGCATTGCACAGGTTCCACCGGGATTGTCCTAGGTCTGGTATTATTCAGTATTAATGACCTGACTGATGGAATAGAGAGCGTGCGTCATCTGCAGATTTAATAAGCGAAGCCGAGGAAGGCTGCAAGTCCTCTGGAATTCAAAGTGATCTTGACAAGTTTGAGAAATGATCTGAAAAACAGGATGAAATTCTGGAGGGGCAAATGCAAATCCCAACACTGAAGCAGGAATAGTCATCTGCGCGGTTACAGGATGGGAACCGCAGGCTAGCTAGCAGTGCTGCAGAGAGGGAGAGGGGTGCTAATGGATCCGCAGGTGAGTCAGCAGTGTTTCTCCAGCGAGAACGGAGAACGCCGTGCTGGACTGCGTGAACCGTGGTGTAACCCACGAGATGCTCCTGTGATCTCTTCCTCCTGGCCCTGGTGCAGCCATCCCTGGGGCATGACCCTTCAGTAGAGGTGTGGAGAGCCGTGAGAAGTCCCGCGGTGCTCGCAAGTGTCCCATGTGAGGTCAGAGGGAGCGATTTGGGGTTGCTGAGTGTTAAAGGGCCAGGTGGAGAAGCAATATGCCTATCAGTGGTTGCAAGCGTGTGAAGGGCTGCTGGAGAAACGAGCAGAAATTGTAGGCCTGCAGCCAGGAAGGCTCAGGTGAGGCGTTAAGGAGAGCTCTGCCAGCGTAGCAGCACGCTGGGAGAGGTTGTCCGGGGTGCTCTGGAGCTCAAACCACCTAGATGGATGTCGGCTGCGGACGGCCCGCGCTTGTGAGCCTGCCTCGTGGCAGGAGGACGTGCCGAAGGGCTAAGCCGAAGGGCTGGGTGATGGGCGCGTGTCTGACAGTGCTGCGAGATGCCGGGTGGAGGAGCAGGGCTCTGGGTTTGTGCTCGGGCGTGCGGCTGCTTGCTCGCCGGCAGTTCCCCGCCACCGCGGGGTGGTTCCCTTGCCCGGAGGAAAGGAGGAGTCCCTGCGTACGGACGGACGGACGGCCCGCGGGTGCCTGCCGCATGCCGGGTTACGCCGGCCTGTAACTGTGCGCTCTCTCCCTCTCCAGCTGCGCCTGATAGACTGGGGGCTGGCGGAGTTCTATCACCCCGGCCAGGAGTACAACGTGCGAGTGGCCCGCTGCAGCTTGCGGGCTCTCTCCCCCCCGGGCCCGTGCCCCGCAGGTTTCGGCCTGTGGCTGCGTGCGGGCAGGAGGAGATGGGACAGCCCGGCTACGACTCGCCCTGGCTAGGAAGGGCTCTTAAGAATGGGACAGCGCGGCCCACAACAGAGCACTTCAACCTTCCTCGGGTGAAGCTCTGCCAGGGAATGAAATAGCTGGGGAAGGTGAGGAGAGAGGAGAGTATCTACAGTCCTCCAAAGGGCCCTTGATGGCCCAGAGGTGGCCGCTCTTGTTTGGGCTGGTTCTGGCTTTCCTGCGTGTGGCAGAGAGAGTACGTGCAGTTCAGGGTGTGAACCCGAAATCTGTACCGGAGACTGTCCTGGGTAAACGGCAGCGTGGAGCTGCCAGAAGCAGTACCCGAAATCCCACGCTCTGCTCCCTGCCGGGGGGCAGCCACGTGATCTCTGAGGGGGGCATGGGGCTGGCAGGAGAGGTTGCCAGCTGCCCCAGCTGGCGTTTGCCTCCCGCCTCTCTTTTCTTGGCTTTTCCAGATGTACGACTACAGCTTAGACATGTGGAGTTTAGGCTGCATGTTGGCCAGTATGATCTTCCGGAAAGAGCCCTTCTTCCATGGTCACGACAACTATGATCAAGTGAGCTCCAGGGCAGTGGGATGCCCGGTCCCCTCCTCACCCCTTCCTCCTGCAGAGCCGTCGCAGGCTCCCTGCGAGCTGGGCCGGCG